GCTTCTATAAATCATCGTATGATAACATTGCAAACATGCGTTTCTCAAGCTTTAAAAGTTGTAAATGCATGTTCGCATAATGATTTGTGACAGCAAGAAGGAAAGGGAAATATACTTACTTTTACAATTCAAAATTTTGAAATAATTAATAATTTTTGCTGAAAACGTCAGAAGAAAACGTAAGCATTTAAAAACTGAAAATTAGTAGAAAATAATGCAACAGAAGTTTCAAAGTTACATAGGTAACTAATAAAGATCTATAAGTTGCATTAATTTTCTACTCAAAGTTGCATTAATTTACTACTCATTTCTGTAAGTTGCATTAATTTTCTACTCATTTATGTAAGTTGCATTAATTTTCTACTCATTTTCAGTTTTTAAATGCTTAAATTTCCTTCTCACTTTTTCAGCAAAACCGTATTATTTAATTCAAAATAATGAATTATAAAAATTAATATAGTCCTTTTTCCTTCTTGCTATCACGAATCGTTATGCGAATATGCATTAAGAACTTTTAAAGCCCGAAAAACGCATTGTCTGCGATGTTACCGTCATGCAATGATTTGTAGAAGCTTTATTTTTTACCACGATATTTTCAACGATGATGTTTTTAAACTGCGACGTTATTGAAATTATTGAATTTTATTTTCGACGACGATATTTTGTACCACGATGTTTTAGACCTGCGTTTTCTTCTCCTAGACGTTTTCGGCCGCGGTGTTTTTGCCGTGATGTTTTCCGCGGAACGCCTTAGGTTGAATTTCTAGCACCAGTTTAAGTAACAATTTAAAACGTGCAACACAACTGTTGACTCAAATAGTTACAAGGCTTGTGCAAAATGTTATGTAAAATTAGTCTACATTCGATGTCCAACCATGGCGATTAATCGCGGACGAGCAGAACTTTTTAATATTTTTGATCAGAACTTCTAGAACCAGTTAAGTAACAATTTAAAACGTGCGAAAATATTATTGACTGGAATAGTTACGAGGCTTGCATAAGGTGTTACATAATGTTAATTTACAGTCGATGTCCAATCTTGGCGATTAATCGCACAGGGGAGGACTTTATGCCTTCCATGGTAGCCTCTATGACACTAAAGTACTGGATGTTTACATTTGAAAATTTTACATTTAGATTCATAGCCGCCTAGACGTTAGGGGAGCCTGACTGCGATACCGAAGGCTTCGGGTTCGAATCCCAGAGAAGGCATTGGATGCAAAACTGTATGTACCTTCATAGGAGGTAAGGGTGGCCGCCTATTAGGTGCCTCCCCTTCTGGCCTTAGGAGTGGCCAATGTCATTATAGGCAAGTACCTGCCATTGGGAAAAAAATATTTAGATTCATAGTAGTCTACCTTTATTCAATACTGATTGCTCTGATCCAAACTGTACTTTTTGAATGCAACAAATGTAGATTTTTTTAGCAGGGGGGGGGGAGAAGGTGTCATTGAAAGTTGTGCATTTAGTCATAAATGTTAAAACTCAGTAAAAGTGCACAGTATGTTATACTTAACATTCTGATTAAAAATTAGATTTTCAGTAATACAAATTAGATAAAGTCAGGCCTGGCCTGTATATACAACAACAAAGTTCTTCAAAACAAGATAAAGTAACTTTATGGGAACAATTTCAACAAGTGATAGAAAGATCTTATAAAACATTCTTAGCATTTTGCATATTTCTTAGCATTTTGTATGCTCCAAATATATTCTTCTCCCTCTCCTGAAATTTAATAATTGTTATTTCATAAAATAGGTACTTTTTTTTTTTTTTCAAAAATAATCTATTATGAAAATTATAAATTAAAGTTTCTAAGTATTAAAGTTTACTACTAATTATTAAAGCTTGATTTTTAAGCTTACTTAAAGAAATTCATTTACAATTCATTAATGGATACTTTTGAGTCATGGGAAAAAAATTTTGAAATCTTTTTATTTCTTGTTTTACTAGATACTATAAATGGAAGGTATTTAATTTCATAATATGTGTTAATTCTATTTCCTCATACAGAAAACAATTATGTTCTTAAATAGAAAGTTTGACCAATAAGTTGTTTAAAAAAAAAAAGAGAGAAAAATATAATAAATATAAAAAGGAAAATATATGGTCACTAAGTTAAACATGACATAACACATTTATTTCACAATAAAATGAAGATAAAATAACTGCAGATGGAAAATAAGAAAATATTCATTAATTATATTACTAAAAAAACAATTAGAAGTACAGGAATACCTTATTTTTATAAACTTATTAATAGTCTAACTACAAAGAAGAAATTACATAAAAAAAATAGGTCAACTTTGTGAACTAGTTTGTTCATAACAGTATTCTTAAAGAGGAAGTTTATAAAATAAAGTATAATTATTACTGCATATGCTCATGTAACATCTGCACTTTGCAGCCAAAAACCAAATTTCCAACTGCAGATACTGTTCATTCAGTTTCTAAGTTCAATAAATTAAAATTACTCTTCTAGGAAAGCCCATAATTCTTAATGGATATAATGAATAAATGAAAACACCCTTATTATAAGAATTTTATTGCTAGCAAATTTAATTATTCTTGAAGAATATAAGCCAGGTAAAAATAAAAAAAAAAGACAACTGAAAATACTGTAAGTAAAATAACTTTATTACTAGGATATTTAAAATTTCTACATACATAACTATGCAGCTTTGAGTTGTTTCTTTAAAAGATACAGGAAATATACATACATTCTGTAGCTGCTTTTAATGGATATTTAAACATTTTATGTAAAATGGATTTTATGCTTTATGGTGCAACAAAAGTGTAAAAACACATTGTTCACCAGATATACAACAGCAGGTCTTGTCTGCAGATCACTCACCTTTTGAGAAACTCTTTCATTTATCTTCGGAGGGGGGGGGAGAAAGAGAGATTGTATTAGTAAACAACAATTTCCTCCCTCATACAGTAAATCCCTTTCAATTTAATCCAATGCATTTGTGATGATTGTAAGTTTAAAATGTTTTTGAATATCCTGAAACATAATTTACAGAGATTTTATTCAATTCACAACAAAAATGTAGACATCTGTCTTTTTTCACGCAATCTCACAACTCCAAGAGAGAATTTTTCCGTAAAAAATGAGGACTAATGTAAACATGATAACATGGGTCATTTTTTTTTCCTTTATATTATATGACAAAAATTAAGGTGAGAACATGAGTCGTGACATTATACTAACTTATACACTAATTCAAATTTTGTTTTGGAGATTGCATTGCCATGGCAACCATACAACACCAGACAATAATTTTGTATTTGAACGGGACAGATCTGGATAATTTTAACTTTTTTAATCAATTTAATTTTTATTTTCAAAAAACTGAAGTCATAATTCTGTAGTATAATAGAGTGGAATTTTGTAAAATATGAAACAGCTGTGGCTGCCTCAAATTTTTAACTTTTTATTAAAGAATGGCATCCAAAAGACCATCAAATTGTTAAAATCAAAATTTTAATTATTCCCTCTTGAAACTTCTGCACAAGCTACAAATTCTGTATCACATACATAAAAGTTAACATTGTATTATAAAAAATGATAAAACTTGCATTTTCAATGATTCAACTAGAAATGTTTTAAAAACTGTTATTATTAATAATAAAATTCATATAACTATATTCCTGCACAGTTTCAATACTACTTGCATATCATGAAACCACTGTTGTAATGAAGAAAAAGACAAAGAAACTTTAATCTATACAAATTTAAACTGCAACATTTATAATGATTATAATGAAGAAATTTTGGACTCTGCCTGTTCCTTAAATTTATTATTAATAACTATTTGTACAAATACATGTATTTGTATTTAAAATTCCCATTTGAATTCATACATAAAACTATCACTATCACTAATAATGACAAATATGTCAATTAAATATTTTATAATATGTCCTAGATACCTCTATTTAGTTTAATTCAAATATGCTATGTATTATTTGAATATAATAAATTATTCTGACTAAACAAATGTATACAAATTATGATTTATTCCATTTGTCAATATTATGTAAAATTTATTTGAATAATTTATGCTGTTAAGTAAACTTTTAGCATATTATTTCATTCAAATGAAAAAATTACTTGTTACAAAGAAATTCTTACTATATAACTTAAAAAATACACAACCAATTTAAAACATAAAGTAAAGCATTACTGTCCAAATATAAATAACATACACATAAAACTTTCTCAGGAAAACTAAACTAGATCTATATTATTACTATGGTAAACTAAGAACACACCCTAGCAATATTTATATCAGCTCATTCAGCAGCAAGATATTAGAAGACACTACCAGTGCATAGTGTATTTGCACATTCAACCACCATAAGCCAAAAATTAAAGGAGCCAAATTTATGTAAACATCACTAATAACAACCGTCTACCAAAGTAGCACCGCAATAACTCCTAGAAATAACTTATTTATCTTGCAGTTTATAAAATACTCTATATCCTCGAAAAAATATCAAAACAACAAACAAACAAAAGTACCAGGAACAAAAGTAAAATCAGTAACTTCAACAAAAATAGAATCACAGGATCATACAGTATATATTGTGTGACTACCTCTTGCATTCTACAAAGCGCAAACATATAAATAAAACAAAAGACACATAAATATACTGCAAGAGAAAAATTAGATTATTGAAAGCTATTTAATAGTAACATGAAAAGCAAGGCAGAAATCAGACAAATTACAGTTGTTAATAAGCGAATAAATAGTATTCGTTCGGTGAATCAAACATAAACAAACTGAAGGCAAAAGCACGTGAAAACAGAAATTTTGTTCTCCCTTTCACTACATTTTACCATATAAAGGGAAACATGAAAACATGACCTACATAGCGCACGCTGCGTCCCACCAAATCTAATCACAGAAAAAGTTACAACGGGCAAGTATCTCGATCATTATACTTACATCATTTAAAAATTCATCTGGTTAAGAAATAAAATAACCACTCACCGATTCATTAATTCATTCATTCATTGTTTCCTTATCTATGAAAATGATATAATTATCACTTTTAACATCTCGAGTAATCAGAATACATATCGTATCACAGCACATCACCGAATATGCAAACTCACTTCACTCAAAAAGCCGATTGATGCAGTTCGCAGTGTGAAAAGTACTGCCCTCTATCGGAACAAAGTTACATTTCAAAAGAGTAGCGTAAACACTACGTTTATTTCGAATTTCTTAATACCTAAGCTTAGTTTTCTAAGCTCCCACCAGAGGACGCTAAGTAACGGAGGATTTCTACGGCATATAGTTAAATTTTTGATAGAAAGGTGAGAGAATATTCTTACACTATGCAATGCAAAAATAAATAATATCAGTTACAACACAGCAAATATATACTTTTAGTAATTGGTGGAACAAAAGTTCAAAAAGATTTTCTTGAAAATTAGATGTTTCCATTCATTATACAACTGAAATACTAATGACATTTTGCTACGCAGGACTTGCAAATCTCTTAAATCAAAAGCTTCAGTGTTAAATAATTGAAATTAATAATCATAAAAATAATTTTAAAGGAAAAAGGAAAAGAAAGAGCACATTTTAAAGCCAAATAAAGTAACAGATTGCTCAACAATTAAAATTAATTACATTTAGGATTTAAAATATCCTAGCATTTTCAGTTAGGAAAAAAGATCCACAAAAATTCATGAGATTTAAAAAAATAGATATTACATGTCTGTTGGCAACAGGAAGTAAAAAAGGGACAGAGCTTGATCAAAAGAAATGATTTTGTTTTGCATTGCATGGGTTCTTTGCGTACTTTCGATTTGTGATATGAACATTTTGGTAACATTTTGCTGAGGAAAAACTGAAGAAAATTCTACGAATGAAAATGTCAAATATAGAGTAAGTATGAAAGCAATAAGTAGCTCTGAAATAATTTCATATTTTTAAATGTGAACTACTATTAAGATTGAAAGTCAGTCGTTCCCTTATTTTTGTTACTTTAGCACCTTCTTTTGACTTTGTATGCAGTATTTCTTGTCCATAGCAAAAATCAAAATCATAGATGCTATTACTCTTTTCTTGTTTTGATGTGTAATTTAAATGCAGTAATCTCTCGGGGGGGTGAATTCCCTTTCTTCATAGCCATTGTAACTCATTTTGTTCTTTAGTTAGTTTGTAATGGTATGATTTTTCGTTGACTCTGACTCCAAAGGCAAAGATGGATATTTCGTTGACTCTGCACTCCAAAAGACATGGAATTCTTGTAAATTTTACTAAAACAATGAAATTTAATTTTTGATTACATTGTATTGAAAGTAAAGTGAATAATTTGGTGTTATATTTGCTTAATCCATAAGTAAGATGCTATTTTTGTTTAGAACACAGTTGCGACTTTTCCTAAGCGAAATCGAAACTGAACAGCCAGAGCATTTCATAAGTGAAATAAATGCTTATTTTGCTCTGAAAAGAAACAGCATATTTATTTTTACAGTTTTCATTCTTGTTTGCAACATGTTACTAATTTTTTTACATAAAAATATAACAAACTTTTAAGAAATAAAGCTTACGCAACGCTTATCAAGGAACACTCCAAGTAACAACGTTTTAGCTCGACTCGTTGTTGCCACACGGCGAATCTTAATAACTATTTAAAACATTACATCATGTTGTCAATTAGAAAGTCTTAATAATTATATAGAATCATTAAATTATGTTTTACTACATTGTAATGAACTAGAAAGATTAAGCTAGAGTGCTTGTAGTTTAGGTAGTATATTTTTAAGTAAATGTATACATAATATTCAAAAAGCATCAAAAGGAATTTAGGAATATTACTTTTTTCCTTTAGAAACTTGCGCCAACTCGAGTTTAGTAGTATTTTTGTTAGATCTTATGCGCTGAAGGTTTCGTCAGCTGAAGGCAAATAGCTTATTTTCACCTCTTCCCGTAATCGCTTTACCTATGCTGTATATTACAGGCAGTAGGTCGCAAGGAATTAAATTTTCTGCCCGAGTCTTTCAAACGAAGTTAGATTAGCTTTTAGTTCTATGTTTCAGTTTGTAGCCATGAAAATTTTCGATGTAAAATATACTCATACAGTAATTCTGAACTTAAATGGTGGATGGGGAAGATGGTGCAAGCAAACTAAGAATGCCTTATGACAACGCTTTGATTAGCTATCAAATCACAATATTATGATTTCAATCCCGTGTCCAATGGCTTGCTTATTTTGGAATAAACGTAAATAATACATTAAAACGTGAAATGAAAAAAAAAATTCTAGGTAACGTATATCACTGTTAATTTTGACTAAAACTGAAAAATTTAATCTTAAGCATAAATTCGCCGTACCAAGTGTAAATAATAAAATTTATGTCAAAACTTTCCTTGACTATAAAATCTTCGTCTCTCATATCAATCAACCGAACTAACCATTAAGTATTGCTTTTACACAGGATCCAAGCCGAGCAACTTCTTTATATGTTTGTCAACTTTCTAGGCATAATGCTTTTCTGTTTAGTTGTATGGTACCACGTTCCCCAAAGGCCCAGAAGACTGAGTGCAACAAAATATCAAGACAAAAGATCTGAGGAAATGAGGAAGTCTGGTCGAATTAAAAGGAAAACATAATGGAATATGGTATGTGTCTCGTCTTTTGTACTACTTAAAAAGAATTTATAATTTTTTTGAGAAAATAAACGTTGGATTAAATAATGTATTAAATGTTAGATAAATTTAAACTGTATGTGGATTTAATAAAATTTCAAGATGATTCAAGTTGCATAACCGCTCTGTTACTGTTCTGATATCTAATTACTTAGGAATATGAAAAAAAGTATTATATATGAATGAAACTTTATAGTTAAAAAACCATATATATATTTTACAAGGTGAAATGGTTTTCCGTACTTTCAAATGCATGTAGTAGCAAACATATGGATATATTAATGTGATAGCGCAGATATCGAGAAAGAAAATGTACTGAGGCATTTAAAATAAGTAACCCAATTTCAGATGAATTTATGTCTTAAATTTACGTATACAGAGGGACAAGTAATATAAGAAATTAAATGAAGAACTGACCAAGTTTTAAGTGCTTTATGTTATTTCTTTTACTTATACGAACAAAGAAAGAAGGACAATCTTAGTTTTTCCGCATTTGTTCCAACGCATCCTTTGTTAACATCATCACAGCAACAGCAGTGCTGATTTTGAGATTATGTAAGTTTCTGAATAATTTTAGCAAAGAGCAACGCAATATCTTAAACATATCTCCAAAGCAAAATATCAACGTTTTGAGTATATTCTAAAACCTTGGAACTTACAATATAATCTGATGTGTTTTAGTTTAACATATGGCGAATAGTTACAGAATTACTCTCGTCTGAAATTGAGCTATTATTACGAATCACCTTGTAGGGTTTCCTATTTTTTGCATAAAAAAATTATTTTAAGTTTGATACCTTTACTGAACTTCTCAACTTCCCCTCACATTTTCTCGCTAGGATGTAAATGTAAATGTTAAGTTAAGTGAATATTTAAATAGGTGAATCTCTGAGTTTATTCAGAGCGTGTTTTCGCTACCCAGCGCACGTTTCGTTGCTATTTCGCTGTTACGTTAGTAAGCCTCTTGGCCATTCCGGATTATCATCACGCCTGTTAGGTTTTGTGAGTCAACCTGTTAGGCATATTTTAATGTGCTAATACAGCACTTCTTTATTTTATATTTTTGAAATAATCTACGTTTTAGTTTCACTGCAAGTTGACGGTGCCATTGTAAAGCACGAAGATCGTGGTTAATTATTTAAATTAAATAAAGGATTACTTTTCACCCTTCTTTTTTATTCACGCCTGTGAGAGAATTCGCAAGGTTCATTCTAGGATCTAATTTAATTTAGTTTATGTGGAATAACAGAATGTGCGCATATCCCGAAAAACTAACGAACAACTTCTAAGCAGTCTCTTTCTCATTGGTCAGTACTATTTAAGCTCTGCCGACGGCACGTTATAAGAAATACTGTTACGAATTTTGTATATATGTAAATAATTTTACTGATATTATATACAAATCGTTATTCTCTTATATAACGTAATATGAAACGCCTGGAGAATGCGAAGCTCCACCGGCAAAATAAGATTACAGGGGCAGGTCCATTAAACATTGAAGTAAATTGCTATTGGCGAGACAGCACCAAGCTAGCGATGGTTTTGGGAACTAATTTTAGTCTCCAAACATGGCGATAAATCTCCAAAAGTCACCAAACTTGGTGACCATTTGGCATTTTTGTGGTTTGGTTCTTGTATAACTAATAATTGCTGCAAGTGAATAACTGTAATAGACCCTACATGTAGCTGTAACTGCATCCGGCCCTTATATGTATCTTTAACCGCATATGCCTACCAGAAATTTCGAGAAATGGAAAGTATTACAAGTTTCTCAGCGGCCGGGGGGGAACTATATATCACTGGAGAAAGTATTATTTCTCAGTTTTTAGTTTAAAGTTGACTTCGGAGTATTGAGGGATCTCCTACGAGCTTCGCTCTTTAGATACGCTTTGCATTGCATTGTGTTTAACATTCTTAGTAATTTGAAGTGGTAACTATTCATTGTGCTCTGTCCTACTAAGAAAAACTATACAAGTACTTTTGTGGAAAGTTCTAGAACTGTAAATGGTTTCTTTTTGTAAAATAAAATTTTACTGTGTGCATTTGATCCATCACGAACCCGTACGCAAGCAACAATATTATTTTCGCGCTTGTGTGCATTTCTTAGCATTGTGTTAAACACTTTTTTTTTTTCGTATATAAAATTTGAAAACCATTAAAACGGAGGGAAAAAAAATAATCACAAAATCTGTTAAAATTTTTTATGGAACAAATAAGGATAAAATTCTAGAGAAAGGTAGTGTTGTCCTCAAAAGTATGCCAAGTACCATTACTGTAATTTTAGAAGATTAAAAAAAAGGAAATATGTTAGTATTTCAAAATGTACGGGGAAAAAAATGGCTTTGTCAGACATTATGGTAAACCTTTTTTTAAAGCTTGGTGTCGTTGTAGTTCCTGGCAGCGAAGTATCGCCAAGACCTTTGTGTGCTGTATGTCATGAAATTCTTTCAAATAATGCTAAGAATCCGTCGAAACAGACTCTTCATTTGCAATCGAAGCATTTACAAGTGAGACTGCACTGATGCACTTAAGCCATGGGATTTTTTGTACGATTACATAATCATATGTCATCTCAAAAGCAACTCATAAAAGTGATAACGGCTAGTGACAAATCTCTAATTTAAGCATCTTATTTAGTTGCTCTTCGAGGAACTAAAACGAAAAAAAAAAAACCTTACACGATTGGGAAGGAATTAGTAAAGGAACTGAATATTAGATGCTATACCGCTTTCGAAATGAAAGGTATTGCTGACACGGCTACCGGCATAGAAATGTAAGTTATAGAAGGGATCAAGAAATCGAAATATTTTGCGATTCAGCTTGATGAATCAACTAACGTGAGTAACCATGCCATCTTACTTTGCTTCATGAGCTACAATGACAATAAAGATTTACTGGAAGAACATCTATTTTGCCTTCAACTACCTGTATAGACCCCTAGTTTAGAGATATTTATTAACGTTAATGTACATTTTCAAGCTCAGGACTTGGATGGAGCAAATACGTACATTGGAGTGTGCACGAGAGCGGATGCTAGTATGAGTGGCCGTCGATCAGGAGTAGTCACAAAAATAAAAGAATTTGTCCAACCAGAAGCTTTAATTACTCATTGCATGATCCACCAGGAACACCTAGAAGCAAAGAAGCTTTCGTTTGAATTAAATAGGGTGATGAATGATGCAGTGAAGAAAACTAACGAAATTCGTATTCGAGCTACGAACTCCACTCTGTTTACAACTTTGTGTGTGGGAGCAGGGGACTCAAACCCCAACATCTTTTACCCATGCTGAAGTGAGGTAGTTACCAAGAGAAAAGGTTCTTGGACGTCTTCTCCAACTGAGGGCAGAAGTAATGCAGCTCCTACTAGAGCAAATATCTGAAAATCTGCCCTAACGGTTAATTTGTTGAATAAGAAATGGCTGTCTAGCTTACATATATGATCGACATATTTGGACTTCTAAACAAACTTAATATTTTTCTTCAGGGATTTCGTATATATATCTTTACACTCAATTAAAATGAAAGCCTTTAAAAAGAAACTGGCTCTTTGGGATATTCGCTTACGAAAGGAAGATTTGGAATGTTTTCACTTTTCGGAGAATTCTTTATTTCTGCTGACATCAGTCAAATGGTCATTTTCAACATAATAAAGCTTCATTTAGAGATGTTAGCAGAAAATTTTAATCATTTCTCGGAAATTGAAGATCCACATATAGGTAACCTCTGGATTAATTATCATATTTTAAAGTTAATTAATGCGCGTTTGATCGTGATTAGGGAAAACTGATCGAATTATCTTCTGATGCTGCTTTTGTGTCGAGACATAAAGTGCAATTATTGTCACAGTTCTGAGTATCTCTCAACAAAGAATATTCATCTCTACTATGATACCGTTGGTCGTTTCTTTGACTTCCTACTTATGTGAAAAAACTTTCCAACTATGTCAATAATAAATACCAAACAAAGAAATCAATTGGATGTTAATGTAGTGCTTCGTCTCGCAGAAAATTTCTGCAGCCACATATATCAAATTTATTAAAAAATAAGCAGCATGAAATGTCGTACTATCTAAAAATTATATTTGAATAACATTAGATTTAATAAATAAAATATATACATATATGTATATATATTTGAATTTAAAAAATATTCTCTATTCGTATAAAACTAATTTAAGTTAATTTAAATTTAAATTATGAAATTTTAAATGCATACAAATAAAAGATTAATTATTGCTGCGAATTAGTTTACAATATCATTTAAATTCTGAGAGCATATGTAAATTACATGAAAAAATATATAATAATCTAAAAAATTAATCCTACAAATTTTTTTTTTAAATTTCTAAGACTAAATTAATTTGCATAAGTGAATAATTGTTGAGCAGGCAGGAGATAGATCTTATCAAGGAGAAGTTGCCTCCAAACCTAACTCTTCAATTACTCAATTCGTGTTTCGTCATCCATATAGGCAAGGGTAATCAGTCTATTACAAAAACATTTCTAACAATAATCATTCTTTATTTATTTATTTAAAATTAAAATTAAAAAAATTTTCAAACTTTAAATTAAATTAATTCAAATGTTTATTCGAACTTTTAATTTTACTTCAAAAAATTTTTTTCGAACTTTATTTCAAAAACATTTTTTCGAATTTTTACAATCCTTTGCAGTTTGCAACATTTATTTTCAAAAACCAATTTTTACATTTTTCATAAAGATGCGCAGAGGCGTCATGTCGGTGCTTTGGCGACACGGAATCGTCTAGAACTCATGTTAGTATTTGTTGAGCAATTCATGAATCACGAGCTCGGTTTTGAGGAAACATTTCTTGAAATAGATTAGGTTCCTTAATGTGCGTAAAGAAAACCTTAAATGTTACGTTTTGTTAATTTGGTGTTAGTTAATAATCTATCCGTTTTCGTACATGTGGTATTTCGAAACGATCCCATGTAAAATGTACGAAACCTTTCCACCCCCAACCTTTGGTGAAACATTTTTACTCTTGAAAGGAGATGGATTCTCCCCTATTAAATCAACATGAAGGTAGTACTAAATTCTGCCTAAATAAAAGTTTAAGACTGAAGGGCTTATTTTTTACATATGCTAATTTCATCTTATTTTGTCAAAAATTTAAAAAGTAAGTTCATTAATTTTTTTCTCTTTCTAGGTTCCAAGTAACGGATGGCATTTCTAATACCAAGCAGCTATTGTAAAACAAAGTTGGGAATATAACAAACAAACTGAAAAGTATTAAATAAGAGAATAATAAAAGATGTTCTTAAAATTTTTTTCCTAGTCTCCTGAAAATGTTGTTTTCAAAAGGTCAACTTGCGTCTGAAGTATTTTTTCACTCTCTTGCTGACTGTCAGATAAACATTAAACTTTCTTATGATTTCTGAGACAAATATTATGACATGCAAATTTCATCCGTTCCTTTTTTAGCTGAAATGCAAAGATAATAAGGATAACAAAAGATATTTTATAATATTTTTCACAATATTTTTTTATATAGGTAAAAATTAGCAATTGTAGGACACTGAATACAACTGTATGGCAATACGGAAATAAAATTACCAGACTTCTTGTATTGTAAGACATTTGTTATGCATCAGAAAAAAGTTACTCCGCTATGAAAACAGGAAAAGATGTCTTCAACAAGAAGTAGTAATCAAGAAACACCCAAAAGAACCAATTTTTTTAATTAGTCAAAGAGTGTGACAATGCAGATTCCACTTCATATAAACGCTTTCCTGACGCGATCAAACGGGCTGCCTGCATAGACGTTTTCGTGGTTTTCCACATGTGTAACGTGTATACGAGCTTGTTTCCCTTAGAAAGTCCTCCACGAAGGCGTCCCTCCCTTTAGGTGGATAGCCCTCAAGCCTTTGCGGTAATCATATAAAACCAAACCAACCATTAAAGAAGGTGTTCGAAATTACGACCCTGGACAGTGATACAGGCCTCACATCTCTGGCGCATGGAAGATGCATGACTCACGTTTCCTGCATCATGGTCCTGGTCGTGATTCGAACACCTACTTTGATGACGATCGTTTGTTTTTGTTCTTATTTCTTGATTTCCGCTGCACTAAGTATGATAAACATTATTCCCACCCTGTTGTTGACCTTCCTTTCTTATTTTTTGTTCGTCACTACCACGCCAGAAAAGCATTTCCAACGATGTATTGCTATATCTTTTTCCATCGTCTGGGTGTATTCTATCTCTCCTGAAAATTCGTAACCGATTTGCTGAAGTACCCTGTATATATATATATATATATATATATATGTCTAGGTACATAACGTAATGATTTTGACGTGAAAGCCATTAAAAATACTGTACTTTATGTAGAAATAACAACTGCATGCATGAATCAAAAGATCAGTTTCAGTTGTAATGTTGAAAGCTTAATTTTAGGCAATAATATCACACTCACACCAGAAATAATGGAAAAGTAAATTTGAACTCAGTCAAAATGAAGGTCAATTACAATGATCCAGCATACTTGCCAGATGAATTATCAAGAGATGAAAGTGATTCAACCCAAAATCCTGTTTCGAGACTAATAAACCTTTTGGGCTAATAAAATAAAAGTGATACCTTACTAATGTAACTCTAATTCATCGTGCATTAATTTGAAAAAAAAATCAAAATTCATTTTATGGGGCTGCTTTAGAATATGATTATTAGGGTATTAGTTCAGAGAATATAGAATTTGATTTGGTTATTCTCTCAGGTAAAAAGTTAGTCTGTTTTGGAGAAGTTTAATTCAACAAATTAGTACCTCCCACCCAAAATTAAAGTTGGTTACGCTCCTTGTCAATAATGAATATCATATACGGGGGTTTGTAAATTAAAATAGTGGCAACTTAACCTTGAAACTCGCAGAAGAGCGAGCATGCGCAAATAGAATATGGGAGCGGTGAGGTGGCGCTGATGTCGATGTGTAGAGTGCAAAAAACAGTCGATCTGCTTAGAAGGGTAGTTGTTGTGTGGTGTTAAAGTGAGGAGTTTCGTTTCCATCGCTCTAAAGCATGTTTTCAAAAGGTGATCAACGGTCGTGGCTTAAAATCGAGTTTGCCCGTGGCAAAAATGCAACAGAATGCTATCGAGGATTAGTGAAACCCTGTGGCACAAATGCTTTACTGTATAGGACAGCAGCACGATGGGTTCAAGCATTTCGTTCGGGTTGGAATGAGACTGCGGATTTGCAACGCAGAGGTCAGCCCTCCATTCCTCAAGAGCAGATTGACATCCTAAGCGGTCTCCTTACCATAGACCGCCGATAGACTGTCCGAGAATTATCCTTACAGGTTGGTCTGAGTCATCAAAGGATGTCGCGCGTAACGAAGAAATCTCTCAACATGAGGAAAATTGCTTCCCGCTGGGTTCCACATAGACTAACCGAAGTACAAAAATGGCACCGGTATGCACTGGCTGGCACCCACTTGAAGAGATACCGCAATGTAGGAGACGCATTTCTGCAGCGTATTGTCGCTATTGATGAGACATGGGCACGAGCCTTATGAGCCTAAATTAAAGTGTCAGTCAAATGAATGGCGTCACCAAGGTTCGACACGTCCACAGAAATCTCGACAGGAACCCAGTCGGGTGAAGGTTATGCTGATTATGGCATACGACTGGGACGGTGTGATTCTTACACATGCTGTACCTGAAGGACAAACTGTCAACGCAGATTACTATTGCCGATTTCTACAGCGCCATCTGCTTCAGGTTATGCGGCGCAAACGTCAAGATTGTCCACGTTTATTGCACAACAATCTCCCTATCGTATTGCATGACAACGCTCGTTGCCATGTCTCAAACAATGTCATTCCCCTTTTGCGACGGTGGCAGGGAGAAATCCTGCAACACCCTCCCTACTCACCGACATGAGTCCTTATGACTTCGATCTGTTTTCAAAGTTGAAGGAACCTCTCCGAGGTCACCGATTTCATGACGTTTCATCTGTACTCCACGCATTAGGGCGCTCGGTCGCTCACATCAACAATCAACACCTTGCCACTGGTCTACAATGGCTTCCGGACATTTGGCAAAAGGTTATAAGCTTTGCTGGTGATTACATAGAAGGAATGTAATGCTATTATACTTGTAAGTTTATTAAAAATTGGTTTATACCTATGTTGCCATTACTTAATTTACAGCCCTCGTAGTTAGAAGAAAGGGAAAGGCTAAATTAACTATTAAAGCTACACTATGTTGCAAAATAAACAATGAACTAAAACTGCAGTGAGTGTTTGTATGCCATTAAAAATAAAAAAAAGGATGTTAAAGAAACCTCACACTAATGATAAATATTAATAATTTCCTAATGATAAGGTATGTGTATCTGAGTCATTAAAAACCGCTTTTAGCTCATTTTTATTTTCTTAATAATGTTTTTTTAATAATTTGGCCTTTTCAATCTGAGGTGCTTATCTTAGTAGGTTCTATTTGCTCAAAATTTGTACAGGTTTGAGAAAAACATATTACGGTGAGCCTAGTTTACTTGAATCCCACCGCTGCACATAACTAGTTACATCACCACATCACACCCCAACATGACATGATTACATATTAAGCTGACCAAGCACAGAACTTCAAAATTAATTTCTGAGTAACTGATTTCATGTGAAGGAACCACGTTTTCGAACATTGGGAAGATGGCTAGGAGACAACACGAGAATAGATCGAGCTGGCCATGCGCAAATCTGAAAAACACGTTTCTGCAAGTACAGTTGCTATATAAAGAACTTCTAAGATTAGAACAACTAACGAAGCACTACCTATTGTACTATCTTTCGGAGCAATACCTATTGTACTATCTTTCGGAACAACTGACGAAGCACTACCTATTGTACTATCTTTCGGAGCAATATCTATTGTACTATCTTTCGGAACAACTGACGAAGCACTACCTATTGTACTATCTTTCGGAGCAATACCTATTGTACTATCTTTCGGAACAACTGACGAAGCACTACCTATTGTACTATCTTTCGGAGCAATACCTATTGTACTATCTTTCGGAACAACTGACGAAGCACTACCTATTGTACTATCTTTCGGAGCAATACCTATTGTACTAATCTTTCTATCTTTCGGAACAACTGACGAAGCACTACCTATTGTACTATCTTTCGGAGCAATACCTATTGTACTATCTTTCGGAACAACTGACGAAGCACTACCTATTGTACTATCTTTCGGAGCAATACCTATTGTACTATCTTTCGGAACAACTGACGAAGCACTACCTATTGTACTATCTTTCGGAGCAATACCTATTGTACTATCTTTCGGAACAACTGACGAAGCACTACCTATTGTACTATCTTTCGGAGCAATACCGTGTTGACCACGTTTTTTTACTCTTTCGTTTTCCTAAAATGAAGTGGTTAGTTGGGCCAGGAGGGTAATTATTTTTCAGGAATTTTTTAATCTTTTTACATCTATAAAATGTTCATATGCGTAAAAATCAAAATTTTATATTTCATTTTGTTGTTATGAAGTAGTACTCCATGTGCTTTCATATTACTTATCTAGTACAATTTAAGTATTTTTCATGTTTTATCTGTCCATATATCTTTTGTTTTTTAATATTATGATTGGTAATTAATCTTTATTTATAATTAGTTTATAGCAATCGTTAAAGTGATTTTACTTACTATTTCTTTCAATATGTTCCTTGTTTGCCTGAGAAATTGGGGGGGGGAGGACAACTTCCATTTATATTGGCATAGCCAACCCTAATTTTCAAAGGGTTCTGGTGGCATAAGGAATAAGGCATAAGGAAATAAACCAAATGCAAGATTCCATCATGGCTGTACATTTTTCATTTCGTCATCAGCAGCAGCATCACTGCAATTTTTATTGTTCTTCGGATTTATGCCGTAAATCATTTCTTCATCGCTTAAAACGTGAAAACTTAGTTCACTGTTTTCTTGATATACCCATTTCGAAACGTTATCCCTTTAGCCTTTGAAATACTATGTCTGTGAATTAACCGGCAGTTAGAGCTGCTTCCATTTTTAACACATGTAAACTCAATTTGTACCAGAATGTGCAATAATCATAAGTACTAATAAGAGAAGCCAAAAATCAATCACAGGTAAAATTCGTGAATGTTAGTGATATACATCGTACTCCTTTCTAATGTTACTTCATTTTTTCAATTATTTCTTTAAACTGAGCTTCAGTTCGTTTAATAGGTAGCCTCTACTGTACTTGTATTTTACCATTTTATTACTTAAAATTGAATTTTTATTACTATTTCGATTTGTTAGGA